CTTTCGCCCGACCCGAAGGAAGGCAGGAGGCGGAGGAGGAGGGGGAGGAGAAAGGAGGGAACGGGGCAGGGAGGGGGGAGGAGAAGGGCGACGGGGGAGGAAGAGGGAGGTAGAGGGAGGGGCGGGGGAGGAGAGGAGGGGGAAGCGGGCGAGGCCGAGGAGTGGGGAGTCGGGAACAGGAGGGAGAGCGAGGTCGAGGAGGTAGGAGGAGGAGGAGGAGAAGAAGGAAGAAGACGGGGAATGGGTGAGGAGGGCGAGAGAGGAGGAGGAGGAGGAGGAGGAGGAGGAGGAGGAGGAGGAGGAGGAGGAGGAGGAGGAGGACGACGACGACGACGCGCATGCGCAGGAGGGAGAGAAGAGGTAGACGGGACGGGGGGACGGTAAGGAAGAGAAGGAGGAGGAGGAGGAAATTGAGGAGGAAGGGAAGGCCGAGGGAGGGCGAGGTGAGGAGGAGGAGGAGGAGGACGACGAGACAGGAGGGGGAGGGGGACGACGACGAGGGCCGACGATGAGGCTGGCGATGCGCAGCGTCGGCGGCTTGCCCCCCGACGGTCAAGCAGTGGCGAAGCGTCCTGGCTCGCCTATAGCCCTGCCAAATAATATTCTAAGAACCTGTTGTGGTTTCCACGAATTGTTTTCAGAACCTTTCTGGTCGATATTGCCTCGGTTTATCACATCGGTTTATGTTCTAAGAACATCGCTTTTGTTCCTAAAACAGTTTTAGGTAGGACCATAGGAATGCCGGGACGGTCGGTCCCTGCTCAACTCGGCGGCAGGGGTCGGCGACAGGGCGGCCCTGAACACCCAGCAGGTGGCCCTCTACGACGCCGAGGAGGCGGGCCGCAATGCAACAGTTGACGATAGCTTTAAGTCGGGCCTGTCCCCCTAACTACATGGGGATTTTTGACGAACAAAATTAAAATACCCCCAACATAATCCTAAACTAATCCAAACATAGTCTGGGGATTATTGTTTGAGTATTCCTTGGCCTTTGGGGGGCATTGTTGTGGTATTTTTATTTTCTCCAAAAATCCCCCTGTAGGGGGACAGGCCCGACCTAACGATAGCTTGTTCTGCAGGCTCGCCGTGTAAGCTCTCGGCGGGCACCCCGCCTCGTCAGGCAGGCCTGGGCAGAAACAGCTTTGGTACGGCCTGTGGGAGCCGTTTCAGGGCTCCTGGGCGCGTCGTGGTAGAAAAAGCACTCGAGGCCGTAATCGATTAGTGCCCGCTCCACTGGTTGAGACCTGGTCTGTCTAAAGGATGTTGGAACCCCTCCTCCGCCGAGGCTTTCTTGAGAAGGGCTTGGCAACTGATCTTGTGAGGATGGCCCGTGCGAGTCCCCTGCCAGAATTCAACCCTTGCCGTGTCGTGAGGCGCAGTCTGTGGCCTCAGTTGTTTGCCGCACCGCTCGCCAGGAGTCGGAATGGCGTGAACTCACACGGGAACTTCTTCAGGCCAACAGGGTACATACACGTCCTTTTTCAGAACCTCCGCTTTTGAATACCGCAGGAGGGGGCCCTGTTGAAGCCGTGGATGGTCTTCGTACAGTGCACTGGCCCGTGTCGTGTCCACGTAGCGGCGACCCCAGCGCGCGCGTTCAAGGTTGAACGCCACCAGTGGCCAGGAAGTGGCCGACATCGACAGATCCGCGCAATCGGAGAGCTACGATCGTTCAAGGCTGCGCAATCCACGTGGTGAGAGAAGCCCACGCCGACGTCGTCAATACTTCGTTCCTCTGCCAGCGGTGTGACACCGCAGTCAGACAGGGCACGGACATCGAGCATCATGATGATGATTATTTGTCATCCTACCCCGAAGATGAAGGCCGAACCGCGTTGAGAGCGGGCACGCGGATGAAGGACATTCAGCCGAGAAGTAACACGTAAGTCAGTGCTTCATCTAACATGTAGTTTCGCCATCTCGCTGCCCGTTTTCGTATTGCTTTCGTTTTGCATCGACGAGTGAACGAGTGCACGACGATGGAAAACGAACGTACATCGTAAACGGATGACACTGTTTGGGTCGAGCCCTCACCAATGATCAGAGGGCAACAACATATGTACATATACGCGGTTCGTTTTCGTCGAATTGCGTTTGAACGTGGAGGTTCGTGCACGCAAGACCGCGGAGGGCGTACATGTACACATGTCGTTGCTCGCTCAAATGAAGCAACGCCATTTTGACACGAGCCTGCCGTAGCAGCTGCCCGTACAGCGAGCTGCTGGGGCAGCGGCGGGCGTGGCTCGGCCCGGGCCTCGCCACAGGGGGCGGGGGCAGAGCACCCCGGCCGGGCCAGCGGGCCTCCCTCTCTCCTCGCGTTCCTCCTCCTCCTCCTCCCCCCTCCTCCCTCCTCCCTCCTCCTTCCTCCCTCCTCCTCCTCCTCCTCCTCCTCCCTTCTCCTCCTCCCTCCTCCTCCTCCTCCTCCTCCTCCTCCTCATCCTCCTCATCCTCATCCTCATCCTCATCATCATCATCATCATCATCATCATCATCATCATCATCATCATCATCATCATCATCATCCCCCTCCTGCTAGCGGGTACTACCCTGCATACATTTGCGTGGGGGAGGACCGTGCAGGTAGGGCCAGGGCGCCGAGTAGCGCCCACGAGCGCTTTCCACGAAGAGACCACAGCCGGGCCATACCAGATTGCTCTCGCTTCGCAGGGCGCACGTCTGGAGCACGCGTCGACTGGACGTTGCGTGGTTTGCCCATCTCGTCTGCCACGAAGTTCTGCCGTGCCATTCTGCTCGCCCCGGGGCGCTGCCAGTGCCACGGTTGGCCGATGCGCCCCCCCCGTTTCATGGCCGAGCGTGCGAATGTCCACGAGGGCAATGGGCATTCACCGCGTGTCAGCACAAGGCATCGCCAAGTTCAAATTTCGATAATCACAGCAACAACGTGCCATTCGTATACAATTTCGCGGTTGTCTTGGGGGCTTCTGGAGGCCAGTTGGGTTTTTTTTCCCCGGGAGCCTTTGGGGGGCTTCTTGGAGGTTTTTGGGAGCTTCTTGGGAGCCTCTTGGGGGCTTTTGGGCCTCTTGGGGGCCTCGTGGGCCGTCTTGGAGCGCTCTTGCGCCGTCTGGCCCTCGCGGTTGCCGTCTTGGGGGCTTTTTGGAGCCTCTTTGTGGTTCTCTTGGTGTCCTCTTGGGCCGTTTTGGAGGCCTCTTGAGCCGTCTCGGGTGCCTCTCTGGGACATCTTGCTGTCCTCTGGGGCCGTCTTAGGGCCCTCGGGGGCCTCTGGGGCAGTCCTTGGGCCGTCATTGGAGGCGGCATGGGCCGTCATGCGCCCCTGACTGAGAGTCGAAAAGGCGAGAACTCGAAAATATGGGTCAACCCATACGAGAATGTCAAGAGCAATTGGATATGTGAGAATCTGTCAACAACAGGCGCGTGTGAGAATTGTCAAGAAGGAGTGGCAGCAGCAGAGAGGCTCGTGTGATGCCGCGCGCGCAGCAGCCCGCACAGGGCGCGCTCTGGCGCAGGCTGCGACCCTGACCCTGACCCTGACCCATGCGGGAATACATGTTTTCTGTATTCAGTGGCTCTTTCGGGGATCCGCTGGGGGCCATCTTGGGCCACCTTGGGCCGTCTTGGGGCCGTCTTGGCCCATCTTGAGGCCACCTTGAGCAGTCTTGAGGCCCTCTTGGACCCTCGGGAGGGCAAAACGGCCCAACTCATAGATGTTCCAACGGTTTTGGTAGTTTTTTGAGCCCCCGAAGGGGTTCACCACGAGTGGTCGACGGCTTTTTCGCGACTCATGGGGGGGAGGGAGAAGACAAATAATGTAAGATAACGCCGCGTGTGTCAATTGTGTGATACTTTGATGCAGTGGACACGTTGCAGCGAGGCGTTCGCCGAAACACGCCGCCGCTCAGCACGCCACCTCTGGACGTGGATTCTACAGCGCCACATCCGCCGGTTTTTTTGTGTAGTCCCTGTCTTGGAGGGAGGTTCTTCTTCGATCGTCGAGGGGGGGGGGCTCGAACCGGTAGTGACCCCCCCGGTTTTCTGGAGAAGGGGGGGGTTTGAACCGGTAGTGATTTTCCTTTGGTTTTCTAGGGGGGGGGAGGGGGGGAAGGGTTCGAACCGGTAGTGACCACCCTCTGATTTTTCGACGGGGGGGGTTCGAACCCGTAGTGACCCCCCGGTTTTCTGGAGGGGAGGGGGGGGAGGGGGGTCAGGGGATGGGGGGGGGTGTGCCAGGGGAAAGGGGGGGGGTTCAAGCAGGGGGGTCGGGATTTTCGGAGGGGGGGGGGTGGGGGGATGACCCACGGGTTCCGGCGGAAAGGGGGGGGAATTTTCCACAGTAAAGCGGCGGTGGATCACGTTTCTTCGAAGAGAAGGACGCATACAATGGAGACCCATGCCAAGACACACCCTGTTTGCCTCCTCCAGGGTTTCCTGGGTTTCTTGGGTTTCGATGGTTTGCTATGGGAGGCGCGACGTTCCCACACCAAAAATCAATGGACGTCCCAAGGTCTCAGGGTTGGGGGTTTCTTGTGGAAGGTTTCTTGTGGTCGGGCCCCTAACATACCGTCGACACTGATAGTAAGGATGAGCGACTTCCCAAGGGTACCCCTTGCATCCTTGCCTTTTCGGTCATCTTTCGGTGCGTCCTCAACCACTTTTGATGGCCAGCCCCGCTCAAAAAGCCTCGGCATTGGCGTCCAAGGTCCTTAAATCCTCATCGCGTATCCTTGCTAACAATTTTGTCTTGACACGTGATTTCGGGTCAGCGCAAGACCGGGGTTTGCCAGGACTCGGGTTCGCCATCGTTTTTTGACGACCGCGACTCGGATTTTGACGAGTAGGAGTTTCGTGGGATGTCTGCAGCGGGAGGCCTCGTCAAAATGCAGGCTCGGCCTCGTCATTTTTTTGACTACCTCGTCGGGGATTTCCGAGTCCCCTGTACCCGGGTCTTACGCCCCCCTGATAATTGATAATCAAATTTTCGCGCGGACTTTCGAAAGTTTATGCCGTTTGTTCTTCGCGGCCAGGTACTTGATCCAGGGATCGGCCATTGTGTGGCCCTGTGGGTCAGGCTGCTGCGTGTGTATCCAGTGCGTGGCATCCAGACGTTCCACATATGATTCCAGCCATAAATCCGAAGACCCACTTTCAATAGGCAGAGCAGAGAAATATATATATATATATATATATATATATATATATATATAAAAAAAAAAATGATTCCAGCCATGGGTGGTTCCAGCTTCCTGGAACACGTGCACCACTCCTGGCCACGTCAGTCTTAGAAGTGGGGCTGGGTCCCGAGGGAATCACGTCCCGAGGTGTTGCCCGCCGTGTTCCGTCTCGCGGAGAGCCCTCCCCTGGCCTTGGGGTCTGGCAGAGGGCGTCTCGGGATGAAGAAAACGGTGCCGGGGATAAGCCTTGGTATTTGGGGCCCGTCTCCCTCAGGACGCGTTGACGAGGATGATGGGGGGGGGGAGGAGGAGGAGGAGGAGGAGGAGGAGGAGGAGGAGGAGGAGGAGGAGGAGGAGGAGGAGGAGGAGGAGGCGGAGGAGGAGGAGGAGGAGGCTTTCATGTCAATTAGTATATGCGCCTTCCCTGCCACGCCAGGAGTGCGAATCCGGTAGGTTGAGAAGGGACTGCAGCAAAGGGGAGTGCAACAATCGCGGCATCACCGCAGGGAGAGTGGTCGATGCGGCAACGCGACGCGATGAAATTTTGACGTGCACGGTGTACGGGGACAGCTTCCCAGGACACGAAACATTTAAACATGGAGCACGTGGATTGTTTTCCCACGACGAGGTAGGAGAGCGTAGTGTGCGCAGATTGCAAGGACTTCGAGGTCACCGCGCGCAGTTGGCATGCGTATCAGTGCAGTGGTACGTGCCAACCAAAGAAAACAACTGCCGACGTCGGCGTTCTCCGCGGCGGGAAGCATCATGACGCGTGCCGAACAAATACGACACCCTGAGGTGCAAGTCGTGCAAATCATCCCCTGTTCGGATGACCACTTTGGAGATCGAGTATGCAATCGCGTTACGCATGCCAACCTCGTAGGAATTAGTACCAGGAGGGGAGATATAGATGCGAGAGGAAGAACCTGAGAAAGAGAATGCTGAGAGGAGGATGATGCTGATACTGATGCTGGTGGTGATGGTGAGGGTGATGATGATGATGCTGATGATGATACGGATGATGATGATGGCGGTGATGATGATGATGATGATGATGGTGATCAGAATGATGTTGATGATGCTGCTGATGATGATGATGCTGATGGTGATGGTGATGGTGATGGTGATGATGATGATGATGATGATGATGATGATGATGCTGGTGATGACGGGGGAGGAGGAGGAGGAGGAGGAGGAGGAGCAGGAGGAGGAGGACGAGCGGGAAGAGAAGAAAGAACACTTAGGATCCTGTCTTCGGGCCAGACGTCATGCCTCCACCGGCCAGTCTTGACGATCCTGGCACCCCCGGCACGTTGAGGTTTTCCATCGACATCGGCCTTTGGAAGCCCTCTTCGGGCTCCCCGGCCGTCGAATGTCGACGATGTCTGCGGCGAATCGCCGCTGACCCTTGCCTTCGGATACGCCGATGTTCCGCCGGGCCCATTCCTCGATACATGTGCGCCAGGAGGCGCCGGGAAAATCAGCTACGTGAGCTGATTCTCAACCCCCCCTTTGCTATCCCCCCCTTTCGCCCGACCCGACCCCTGCCTTCGGATGCGCCGATGTGGCCAAATGCTGAGACCAAGTTGTGCCACGCTGCGAGACCATGCGTTCCCCCAGCCGTTGTGGAAGCCCTTCTGGGAACACGTGGGGGAAGGGAGGGAAGGATGAGGAGAGGGAGGAAAACGGAGGATGAGGAGAAGGATGCGAAGACTTCTTGGGGACTTCTTGGGTCTCTCTTGTTGGCCTCCTTGGAGCTTCCCGGGGGCCTCCTTGGGCCTCTTGGGGGCCTTTCGGGGTTTCTTCGGGGCCTTTTCGGCCGTCTTTGGACGCTACTGGCCCCCAAGTCGCCGTCGGATGGCGTCCTGGGGGCCTCTTTGAACCGTCTTGGGGCCCGTTTGGGGTGAAGCGGCCGTCTCGGAGGCCATCTTGGTCGTCATGGAGGCAATTGGTGCCGTCTTGGGGCCCTCTTGGGGCCGTCTTGGTGGCCTGTTGGGCCGCTGAAGGGCAACATTGAAGGCCTCTTGGGCACTCTTGGGGCGATATAGTGTGTCTCTTGGGCTGTCTCGGACCGTCGGAAGGCCGAAACGAGGCAAATACCAAAACCTGTCGAGAACCTGAAGAACATGAATGATTGTTACCATCTGGGGCCTTCCTGGAGGCCTGGGCCGTCTTGGCGGCCTTTCGGGCCATCTTGGCGCCCTCTTGGGGCGTGTTGGGGCCCTCTTGGAGGCCTCTTGGGCCGTCGTTGGGCGATTTTGGGAGCCTCTTGGCCCGCCTTAGAGCGTAGGGAACCCTAAAAGGCGAGAGCGCAAACATCTTCCAACACACGCAGAGGGAATCAATGAATTGTGCCTCTTGGGGCCCTCTTGGGAGAGTTCTTTGGGGACTCTTGGGGCGTCTTGGGGGCACCCTGAGCCGTCTGGAGGCAATCTTGGACGTCTTGGCGCACAATTGCTGCGATTCTGGACTTTCTGTGGACCGCCTTGGACGCCCGTCTTGGGGGCCGTGTGGGGCCCTCTTGGCCTGTTTTTGTGTTCTCCATCCCCCCATGATGCGTTCGAGCCAGGGTCAGCCCGGGCCGATGCGGGGTTCCTGGTGGGGAGTTTTTGGGGGGCACTCTAAAGTGAGCTGGGCGTTGCATATGAGTGGGAACGAGCGTGCATCCGTGGCTGCTTGGCCCAAAGCGACCGGCCGCCCACATCTGACTACACCTCAGCGCGAGGTGTACCATTTGCCATCGATACCAAAACTGCTTGAGATGGCTCGCCCCCTACTACTGGGACTATCGTTACTACGGTACAACAGAGCGGGAGCTGAGCTTCGCGTAAGGCGAAGCTGCTGGTTGGGCCTCTCAACCCCTTTTCAGGGCAACGTCACACGCCTGGAGACCCACAAGCGGTCGGTGGATCTTAAACAGCCACGAAGCTCCAGCCGAGGTAGTGTGGCACCGAACTGGCCCGAGAGCTCGATCGTGACCCGTTGTGTTCCCTTCGTCCTCTTCGTCGATTTGTCGTTGGGTATTCAATTGCGTTCCGTGGGGGTTCCGCAGTGCGCAACGCGCGTTGTAGAGTTTGCCAAGAGGCACACCAAGTATACCATTATTTCAGATTCCGAGCGCGCGTGGTCCCCAGGAGGTTTCCCGAAGAGTCCCCCTCCTCCTCGTTCCTCTTACGGTGGGCGTTGGGGAAATGGCGTGCGTCATCGATCTCCGAAGAGCACATTATCCTTGTGAGGCGGTCCCCCCGCGAGGACCCCTCCTGCGCATGCTGTCCCCCTGTCAAGGCTTCGTCGGTGCACGCCATCAAGGTACGGGGCAGCGTGTGCTAAGCGGGCCGTCGGCGCCACATCGCATGTTATCTGTCCGACGCCACCCGTACTGGTTTCTCAGTTTCTTGCGTTGCGAACGGGTTTTCTTTCGCCCCCGCCACCGCGATGTACAGGCCGCCCAACCCGCGCGCCTGACATGCAGGCCTCGTGTAAATGCGGTTGGCCTTGCATGCGTGCCCACCGCAGGGGGCCCTGGCTGCCAGGCAGCCACCCCATCACGACCCCCACAGGCCTGAGTCCTGATCCTGATCCTGCCCCCACCTCCTCCGTCTCCTCGTCTTCCTCCCCACAGTTCCGACGTCGTGATTTGTTCACCACTTGGTCCTCCCCGGGATTGTTTTCTCTTCCCGAGTCTCTCGTTAAGGTTCCCTTGGGCCCAGCAAAGGCCCCCAGAACCCCAAAGTAGCGAACAGCTTCCCGCTTTGATGTTTCAAGGCGCGAGGGCACAACCGTACGCCTGCACTGCCATCGCAATGGGAAGTATTTGTTGGAGCACCTGCAGGTACACATCTGCATGTTGGGAAAACAAATGATCATCATGATGCCCACCTGTGTGCTCCTCGTTGGCCTCTTCTTATGACCGTGACTTCCAGTATGCTCTACCCCGCACACCCCGAAGGGGAAATGGTCTACTTCACAGGATAGAATACGGAGGCATAACATGGAGCATCTCCCGGAACGACCGATAAGTGAACTGAGTGGAACAGGGGGTCACGGAATTCAACATATAGAAGTCGCAGGAACCCCTCCAGCAACAGTTTGGGGTCTCGGGCCTTCCGTCTCTCCCCTGTCTCCTCCTTTTGAGGCCGTGTCGTCGTCTCTTGCCCCTTTTGGCTTGGGCGCCCTGCTAAGCCTGCGCGTCCCCCTCCCCTAGTGCACGCGGAGAAAAAAAAAGGCCAGCAGTTGCTGCCCCCGCATTGGCCCGATGGGGCTCGCGATGTAAGGCTGCGGACTTCTCTCACGGGGCCACCTCGGAGCTCGGTTCTTGAGCTTCGGGGTGTGCCCCCCTGCCGGCCCTAGTGAAAAAGCAGGGCTGTAGCACAACCGAGCGCAGGGGATTTCGGCAACAGCACGTCGATCACCCGAGTCGGTGTCTTGACGTTGCCCCCTCATGCGGATGACCTTGTCGTTGTTTTTCATTGGTTCATGACAAAATAACAGTACCTCGTCGCACCCCGAAGCTTGGTTTTTGGGCGGGCTGGGCGTTTCGCTTGAGGCCACCTCACCATCTATGACTTTGAAGTTCAGCAATTGGCAGCCGCTTCGCAGGTAGAGGCCGGGTCGTTTTCAACACGCGGCTCTCGTTTTAGCGCGGCGCACACTCGTTGCAAACATGTGCAACGAGCTTCACGGATTGAGGGTGGGTGGTTTCAAAAGTGTGGCTCTCGTTTTAGCGCGGCGCAGAGTCATTCTCAACATTTGAAGGAGATTCACGGATTGAGGGCGTTCTTTTGTGTTACATATATATATATATATATACAATGTGGTCATCGCGTCAGCGCGGCGCACATTCGCTTGAACATGTTGCAAGCGTTGCGCGCAGTGACGGCGGTTCATATTTAAACTACGGTTGTCGCCCCAGCGCCGCGCGCATTCTTTCACAACGGTTTCAACAGTTTGACGGATCCCCGTCGTCAGCGTACCATGGTGGGGTTTTGAAAGGATGAAAAACTGTGCGGGCGCAGCTGATATGTTGATTTTTTGTGTTGACGTCCAAGGAATATCGTTCTGGCGCGATTCAGGATCGCCAAGACGCAACAATCAGTCTGATCGGCGGCGTTGGAACCCCGAGAACAATGTTTTGGCATGCTGCAGGGTTTTCAAAACGGGTGTCCTCCAACGGTGCAGCTTCCCCAATGGAAATGAACCGTTGTGGGGGCCTGTGAAGAGGGAACTTGGAGGGAGGGCTTGCTCCAAACCCACTGGGTTTACATTGGGCCGCCTCCTCTTCCTCCTCCTCTTCCTCCCCCCCTCTTCCCCCTCCTCCTTCTCCTCCATTCCTTCTCCTTATAAAGTAACTTCTCCCTGTCGCACCCTGGGGCAAGTTTTTACGGCGGGCCGGACGTATCTCCTGAGATTTTTTCACCGTTTATGACCTTGGAACGTCAACATCAGCAACAAGTTCACAGATGGAGGACGGGTGGTTTTCAGAATGTGGTTCTCGCCTTCGCGCCGCGCACATTCGTCTTCAAATGTTGCAAGGGCTTCACCGATTGAAGGCAGGTCGTTTTCCAAAATGTGGCTCTTGCCTCAGCGCCGCGGACATTGGTTCCCAAACTTTGCAAAGAGCTACTCGGATTGAGGGCGGGCCGTTTTCAAAATGCAGTTCATGCATGATCACCGCGCACATTCGTTATAAGCACTTGCGTGAGCTTCGCGGATTGAGGGCGGTTTGTTTTCAAAATGTGGTTCCCCCCATAGCGCCGCATACACATATATATATATATATACACATATAGGTATAGATATTTACACGTTTGCAATAGTTTCACGGTTTGAGAGCGGTTCCTTTTCATTATGTGGTTCTCGCTATTGCGCCGCTTGCGCTCTTGTCAAAAAGTGTAAAATTCCACGGACTCCCATGATCGACGTACCAGAAATTGCGTTTTGGAAGGACTCACGATGTTAATGGCGCAACAGTTACGATGATTCGCGGAGTCGACGTCCCAGGCATGGCGTTTTGGCACGATTCAGGATCGCCAATACGCAACAGTCAGGTTCAACCGTGGCGTTGGAATGCTTTGGCATGCTTCAGGGTCTTCAAACACATGTCTTCCAGCGACGCAAGTCCCTCTGTGGAAATGAGCGTAGTAGGGGCCTGTGCAGCGGAGCTTTGGGGGGGAGGGTTCATTCCAACATCGTTGGTGACTCTTGGCTTTGCACTGGTCCTCACCCTCCCCCTCCTCCTCCTCCCCCTCCCCCTCCTCCTCCTCCTCTTCCTCCTCCTCCTCCTCCTCCTCCTCCTCCCTCCTCCAGTGGCGACGAAGGGATCGACGAAGGCGCGCCTGCCAGGCGGAGCGCTGCAAGGAGGAGCTTGAGCGCGAGCAGGCCGAGCTGGCCGTGATGAAGGCCTTCCGCAGCCCTCGCGGGGAGCGCCCGGCGGCGGCCCGGCGGCGGCCCCTTCGGCGGCCAGCGCCCTAGGCAGCCCATCGGTGGGCACCACGTCAGATACAACATAACATGTTTTGGAGCTTCGCGCGGGTGTCTGGCCGCCCCTGGCGGATGACGGGAAACGCCTTCTCGGAACGAGAAGGTGGTGGGAGTTTTCTAGCATTTCTACGTGAGTTATGCTTAAAGAACAAACTCGCGAGGGACAACTGGCTCCCGATTGTAGATGTTGATGCGTTGGCGGGTTCCGCTCAAAATGGCCGTTTCGCCTGAGACATCCTCGAACAAGCGAGATGTTGACGCCGTGTAGTTGAGACGTAATTTGTTAAACATGAGGTTCTCGCTCGATGCATCCTTGGAAAGCGAGCTTCTGAGCTCGCTCGCGAAATTGAGCGAATCGTTGGACATTGATTTTCGCCCGACACATCTTCGAAAACGTTAGATGTGGGAGCGGTTTGATTAAGACGTGTTTCGTCAAACATGGGGCTCTCGCTAGAGGCATCCTCTGAAAACGGCATTCGCACCATCTGAGCTCGAGGTCCTGTCTGGTCCGTCTCTTCCGTCCTCTCCGCCTCTGAGGTCTCCTCCGTTTCTGAGGTCTCCGTCTCCTCCGTCTCTGAGGTCGTCTCCTCCTTTGAGGTCTCTTCCATCTCTCCTCCGCCTCCGTCTTCTCCTTCATCCTCCTCCTTCTCCTCTTACCCCTCCTTTTCCTCCTTTTCCTCCTCCTCCTCTTCATTCTCTTCTTCCTTCATCGCGCACGCACGCCGTAAATCCCCCCGCACGTCGCCCCCATAGCACGTCTGGCACGCACGCCGTACATCCCCAGCGCCCGTCGCCCCCATAACACTTCCCGCACGCACGCCGTACATCCCCCCCGCCCATCACCCCCATAACACATCCCGCACGCACGCCGTACATCCCCCCGCCTGTCGCCGCCGTAACATAACCCTACACACACGCGCGCACACACGCGCGCACACACGCAAACAGCCGCTCACACAGGCACATACACAGGCACGCGTACATACACGCACGCTCGCACCAGAGTAACCACAGCAACCACAGGCAACCACGCTCGGAGAAGTCACCACTAATCCCGCTCTCCGCGCGCGACGCGAGTTCTGGCGAACTCTGTGGGGGAGGCGCTTGGTGCCCCATCTTCCCCGCGCGATCCCTGGCTAATCGTCTGGGGGGGGCCTCGCGCGGCAGCGGCAGCAGCAGCAGCAGAGCAAGAGTGGGAGGGTGGAGGAAGGAGAGGAGGAGGAGGAGGAGGAGGAGGAGAAGGATGGGGAATAGGCAAGGCCAGCGCGGCAGACCGGCACGGCAGACCAGCGCGGCACGCCAGCGCGGAGTCTTTGGTGTGCTCAATCAGACGTTTATCTGACAACCCTTGTGGACAAAGCGGCGCTTCCCGTTCTTGTCCGGTCAGGTTCCGCGCGCCAGGGAGGCGGGCTCCGCGCCGACGATTCAAGAAGCCTACGCGGACCCTCGGGAATGCATGGTATGTTTTTATTCCTCTCATATAAGACGTAAGAGCAAACAGGCAACATGCATGTCAGCATGATACGTTTGAACCAGTGCTACGCCTTGGCGGTCAGCAGGTAAAACAGTGGAAGCGAAACATTGGAAGGAAGCCTGCGGCGGCCCTCCAGCGGCCATCGCCCTCGGCGGCCCGCGGTGGCCATTTGGAGGTCTTCTGGCGACACATTGGCGGCCCTCGGCGGTCCTCGGCGGCCTCCTCCCCAAGTTTTTGACGCTCCCGAGGCCCCTTCTGGGCTTCTCGAGGTCCCCGGGAGGCCTTCGGGGGCCGTCGGCGGCCCTCGGCCGGGAAGCCAGCAGCGGCGCGGAGGGCGGCGGACGACGGCGGCGGTGGCATCTCGTCGTCGCCGCCGCCGTTGTCGTCGCCGTCGTCGCCGTCAAAGAAGGAGGAGGAGGAGGAGGAGGAGGAGGAGGAGGAGGAGGAGGAGGAGGAGGAGGAGGAGGAGAAGGAGGAGGAGGAGGAGGAGGAGGAGGCGGTTGGAGGAAGTCTAGCTGGCGTTTCCTGCGAAGCCCGAAGGGGTTGCAGCGGCAGCCAGCGGGAGCACCCACCCCGAGGTGAAGACGGCGCCCCGCCCCGCACGGGTACCATTGCAGAAGTTGGGGGCTCTCGAGGGGGAGAGGGAGGAAGGCGATGTCGAGGTGGTTGAGTTTGATGATGGGCCTGTCTTCCACCACCACCACCACCAGAAGTTGGAGGGGGAGGGGGTCCTCCTCCTCCTCCTCATTTTCCTCCTCCTCCCCTCCTCCTCCTCCTCCTCCTCCTCCTCCTCTGCATCCCCCTCTTTCCCCCCTCCAACTTATGGTGGTGGTGGTGGTGGAAAACAGGCCCATCATCTGAGGTTGCCGACCTCCCCGAGTCTTTCCTTGAGCGCCCGTGGTCGCTCGAGGACTGCCGAGGGCGACCTCTTCTAGGACGACCACGGGTGTCCTAGCACGGCGAGTTCGAGCAGGGCGGGCTCGAGGGGAATGGCCTTCCCATGCCCCAGCGGGGCTACTGTGGTGGCCTTCGTCGGTCCTCGGCAGCCACCCTGCAGTTGTCGACGGCGGGCGGCGGCGGCGGCGCCGTCCCCATCGCCCTTTCCATTTCTCCTCCCCCCTCGTCTGTCGCTGTCGCTGTTGCTGCCAGCGTCAATGCCGATCACGAAATGTCCACACTCCCCCTCCATCTATCTCTCCTGCCCCCGCCCCGTTACACCCGCCATTGCCCCCTCTCCCTCCTCCTGGTCGCTCCTCCTGCTCCTCCTCCTCCTCCTCTTCCTCCTCCCTCTCATCCGTAGCCATTTTGGCTCAAGGGGCCTGCTCCTTAACTTCCAACCTCTCTCGAGGCGCCTGGTGGCCAGGCACCAAGGCCGGGAGCGGACGCGCTCCCCTGGCCCCGCGGGGCCGCTCTCCCTCGGCCCGCCGCGGCCGCGCCCTCCTCTCTTCCCTTTGCCATGCCGTCCGAGGTCAGCGAGTCCTGGCCAGTATCGCTCACGTCCACTCCTCCTGCCTCCCCTGGAGGGATGAGTACCCCCCCGGCGGCGCCTGGAGGTACGTCCGTGGAGGGTATGAGGTACACAGAGAAGATCCTCGCAGCCATGCGTGATATGATTGCTCCTCTGCCGTCGTCGGTCGCCAGCCTGTCCAGTCAGTTGAATCTCGGCGTGCAGGAGATAAACCAACAGATCTCGGGAATCCAGGGTCAGATGATCGCAGCTGAGAAGAACTTCCAGACACTACAGCAGGCGCACACGGAACTGGCAAAACAGACGGCAGCTAATTTCGAGCAGATGCGTGCGATCCACGAACAGGCCCTCCTGCAGTGCATTCAGGACCGTGAGACCGCAGAATCCGCCCTCCGCGATGAGCTCAAAGGAATGATCCAGGCGATGCGTGACGAGATCCAGGACATTCAGAAAGTCGTCGAGCTAGGGGCGCCGACATCTCGCGGGGAAGAAGAAAGGCAAGTCTGTCGGAAGGTTGACTCTGGGCTAGTGGGTGACCCCTCGCGTCTTGTGGTGCTTGGATTTCCACGGCCGCTAATGGAGAAAACGCTCCGTGAAGCTGTCCAGAGTATCCTCGCCCGCTGCGCTCCGTCCTCGACTCAGGGTTCGATCCAGGTCAAGGCCGACGATTGCAGTAAGAAGGTGTTCCTGGACTTTGATTCCAACCTAGAGGCCTCCACGTTCCATGGAATGGCATCGTCCGTGGGCACGTTCCCCTTCCCGAACCCTGAGGGCGGTCCTGTGCGGGTCCGACGTGATCTTCCCCCCTCTGCCAGGAAGTTGTTCTACTATCTCGGGAATATGCGACAGCATGTTTCCAGAATCTTCGGGGCGGACAAAATGGGGTCGACGGGGCTAGGAGGTGGAATGTATGTGACGAAGGACAACGGAGTCCCTGTGCAAGTGGTTAAGATTTCTATTGTTGATGATGGCCCCACCGCGGGTACCGTGCAGCGTGGCGTCGAGATCGAGGGGTTGACGGAAGTGGGAGGGCAGCAGCACGCACAATGTCTGCACGCCAGGTTCGCAGAGATCTGCCCCTTTCGGCGAGTATCGGAACAGTTCGACAGGTGAGTGTGCGGTAGTCCAGTGGGTTCTGCTACTGAGTGCTCGTCCGCCCTCTCCGCCCAGTTTGATGCACACCACGCAAGTGACAGTGCTTTCGCCTTCTCGCCGCCTGCTGGGGGAGCTGGTGGTGTCTACCGTCCTGCCCGTCCTCTGTCTCTCTGCAGTTGGAACACGCGCGCGCTCTTCGCCTCTCTTTCGTCTCGTTCCTCTCGGTCACGTTCGCGCTTCCTTCGGGCTAAGCAGCTGCCCTTGCAGTATCAGGTCATGCGTTTACAGGAGACGCACGGATCTGAAGCAGACTTGGTTATCCTTCGGGACGAAATGCGGACTGGGCAAAATGTTGGGATCTTTCTGGAGGATCGGAACGCGGGGGGGGGGGGGGGGGGGGGACCTTCCTGTCTTCGGAACTCTGCGACTGCTTCGACCCGATCGCTCCGATTACGGTCGTTCCTGGGCGGGTGTTACTCGTCCATGGTCGGGGACCTCGAGGCGATTTGGTAGTGGTCAATGTGCATATGCCTAACACGTGCGATGACGTTCGTACCTATCATCCGTACTTACGCCTCATCAATGCCGCCCTTCCTGCGGCAGCGCATACTATGGTTATCATTCTGGGAGACTGGAACTTCTGTACGATGGAGGATGGTAGGTCTCTTGTCTCAGGGGAGAGTGGGCCCGGGGACCGTTTGCAATGTGATGATTTTCAGGAACATTGTAGCCACTGGTGTGAATTATACCAACCAGACCCGACCCGAAGGGGCATTGTGAATCGGGAACTGAGGGGGCTGGCCAGATCAGATCGGATTTCCACGACCCTTCCTGCAGGTATTCTCAATGAGATGACCGTTGTTGCCAACGCTGTCGGCACCC